CAATCAAAGTTAGTGGCATCTAAAGTCATAAAATAAGTGTACTTAATCTTTTTTATTGTGGTCTTGCTTAGCATTCAGGCAAGAGATCGCATCGTGTTTGCCTTTAGATGAGCCACAAAGTATTCTTGTAGATTTGAATTAAATTATATAACTTTTTAAAAATATTTTGTTATTGTTAAAATTATTTTCTGATGTATTATATTTAGTTTGTTGTACTGCCTTATCATCTTAACTACTTTCGCGGATTTTCGAGGCGTTGGCGATTGGTGAAAATATTCATCCTTCAAGCAATTATATTCTATCTATGAACCCCGAAAAAGAACTAAAACCAACAAACTTTGTTCACCAGGCAACTATTTTAAATGAGACTGTTGCAAAAGAGCGAAGATATCAGAAGCTGTATGCAAACTTCACAATAAATCCATTTAGAAGAGGTAATAATTGCTACTATATATGTCCCCCATTAATCTGACCTTCAAACCTTATAACATAAGGGTACCATGATATTTTAAAGCGAACTGTTTGTCTGAAAAACCAAACAACGCGGAAAGTATTGAGGCCGCTGACGGTATTTTTTATATAATTCATGGATAGTTAGATCATTTTCTCGAAATTTTTAAACGCGCAGAATTGGAACCTAAAAAACGCTATTTGTATCCACAGACCGAAAACCAGGAATATGGGTGGATATCAGATAACTTGGTATGATATTTTTTAGCATATATTTGTCATATTAGCTGAACATGGATAGAAACGACAGAAGATTTTACTTTCCAAATACTTCTTGTGATATTACACGATTCATGCATAGCATGTGGAAGCAGAAAGAACAGAGAAAGTTGAACACGTGATTTTATGCATTTCATTACCGCAGTTGAGTCGAACATTATGATTATATGATCTGTTTCTCAACGAATAAATATATATATTTTTCATTTATCTTATTAAATGCATTATTATGCGAAATCTATCTTATCTACATAAAATGCTGTGAGATTAATATTTTTACAGTGGGAGAATTTACTTATCATAACCGTTTGGCTCGATGTTATAACTCATTTCTGATAACTCGCCGTGTGTGGTATGTTCACGTCGTATGATTGGATGCGGAGAAGGAATGGCAGGTGAAGCAGTAATCATTGATTTATGTGGATTCATTTCACATATGCTTGTCTAAAATTAAAAAATTATATTGCTTGTTCGCAAGTCATTAATATAGAAACCTAAAAGGATTTACCACGATAAATGCACATCTACTTGCTCTTTCCTCTTCAGTAGCTGCATTAGGCGAATTTCATTCGCTTCGGGTGGCTGTCAATGAAAGATATAATGTTTTTACAGGCACTATCTACATGGAAATAACACTCAAAGTCTAATGAAAATAAGAGTCGTATATTATTTGAATTCCGGCCAATCACGTATATGCTGGTGTACAAAGCACTACAATTTAAAAACTTTACCTCGCACATTAACGGAATTAGTTTATAATTATAAAATATAAGATGTATTCACCCAATTTTATTTAAGTTTATAAGGGAATTTTAACACAATGATATGAGTTTAGCTGACGTTTCCATTGAATTTTACATAGCCT